CACCCTTTCTTCCTGAAAATAAAACCTTGGTTATGTAAGTAAATTTAATTAAATAGTATTATATTATTGGCGTAATTAAATGACATGTCAGGAAATACTAATTTGCATGGGTTTATTATTTAATTTCCCTGCTTTGCTTAAAAATAGATATATGTTCTGGATGTACCAGTATTTACATTCCAGGTAGGAGTGGTAGTTAAGTTGATTTTTTTTAAAAAGTGGGGTTTTGTTCCAGTTGGACTGAAAAAAAAATGAAGGTGCTTGGGTGTTTTAGCTGATTAAGTCTTTTGAAAAATATAATTTGGGTATCTTTGTCTTTATTTTGAACTTTTTAAGGGTTGCTATTTAGAAAAAAAATAATATTAGAGAAAATTTGAAAATTAGAATTCTTTTCAGAAGGAAAAATTGAAATATTTCATTTTTATTTTTTAGTTTGCAAAGTTTTATCATGATTATTATTATGTGCAAACAATTTTAAAATTGACATGAATTATGAAAATGTTTCACTTTCACTAAATCTGTATTTTTGTCCTCCTCCCAAAAAATTGATGTGAAACATTTCATCCAGCTTTAGTCAGAAAATTTATTTTCCCTTTTACATTTGCTACTGTGCCTTGTGAAGTTTCATAACATAGTTATTTTGTATATTAATACAAACACAATGTCTATATTCAGACTTCACTGCTCATCCTTAACTTCTCTTAAAAGACAATTTTACCTTTGCATTGAACAGAACAGTTGGCCCCTAGTTTTCTATTTCTTTGTCCTGATCTTTGCTTTTTACATGATGAAAACCGAGTGGAACATAGGAACAACACATAACCATTCTGATGGCATAGACTTAACTGTGGCCTGACTTAACTGGCACCAAAATATTAAGACCATCATTGAACTCAGGTGGAAAATTTAGTCCCAATCCTTATTATACAAAATATAGTGTAAAAACCACAATAACACTGAAAACCAGCTTACTATATTAGGCTGCTTGCAGATGTTAAAAATTATTTTAATGAATTCTTGGAAATATATAGAACTTAATTATAGGTTGGGTCACCAACATCCATGAATCTTGGTCATTTTCCTTTTTTATTATTATTTAAGTCTAAATAAATTAAAGTCTCCATTTTCATGGGTGAGGTTTCCGAGTAGAAAAACACAGGAGATGCTTGGAGAAGATACAACATTTAATGACAGTTATGTGAAAAACCTCACTGACCCACTTGAGCTGAATACATTTGGTGTCACTTTTTCAGCGAGAAATCTTTCTACCAAAAATTCAGGTTTGGTGAGCTCGAAACCAAGTTAATTCATGCTAGGTCTGCCAATTTGTTTGTAACAACAACAAAAAACCCAAACAATTGCAATGTTTTGGTTGCACATTCTTGAGAAAAATAATTATAATTTATATTACAAATGACTTTTAGTTTGAAAATAACCTTCAGATCTCATTTAAGCTTAGTATTACACTTCAAATTGCTCAAACTGAAAGAAAATGTTTTGTCTTGTGTTACACATTCTTTGTCTAAATCTAGGTATACAGAATGAGGGTCCTACCTGTCCAGAAGATTGCTGCAGCACAGCTGTAAGGCACAGGAACGTAGCAAGCAGCAGCATCTCTGAAAACTGAAGAACAATGTATTTAGTTATCTATTCTATTGGTAGCTTTCATTTAGTTCAACATGTATTATAACAAAGGTATATTTCCATGATTTTTTTCCAAGCAGCTAGTTAGAAAGTATCCCTATTTTTTTTTCTTTTGCTACTACAAACATTGTCTCATGGTTCTTCTCTGTATATGGCTTGACATTACTGTATTTTTTTCTTTAGGCCAGGGTTAAACATGTTGGCCTGGATGTACTCTGGATACCAGTTTCTCTTTACACAGGAAGTCCTCTAGAGGATGCTCCCTGGAGGGAAAACCGTTATCATTAATGCTGCCATCTTGTCTTGCAGCTTTCATTATGAGATGCTAATTATAGTTTTTTTCTTATTCATAAAAACTTTCTAATGAAGAAAACTTATGAAAACATTAACTGAACTGGCACTGCCAATTTGCCTTTGCCAACTCCAGCTTCCAGGCCACTTATTGGACTCTACTTGCCCATTACATCCATCCCAGCATGGAGGGAAATTTGAAGTTATGTTGTTCTACCATAACTGCCTTCCCAGCAGACTTTCTGCTGATGATTCCAGGCTTCTGTGTTGCAGCCAGTGCAAAATTAGTTTGAATTTTGCCCTTAGGGTTTGTTCAGTTTAAAACCAAAAAAAGAGAAGAGGCAATTTGTATGTAAGGGGAAATTAAGAATTATGGCCAGTCAGAGATAATAGATAAAATCATGAGCAAGAAGTTGTGCATAACCTCCCAGGAGCACGCTTAGGAGGGAAGAGTCTCACTTTCTGTGCCTCCCCTCTAAAGAGTATTACATTTGTTGGTGGCCAAGACTAGTGGTGCTCAATCTTTTGGGCCTGTGGGATGGTGAGTGGTATGCAAGGCAGTCTATAGGCGGATCAGGCCATAGGCATCAGAATCAGGCCCTGTGCTGCCTCTGATGGCTCTCCATACTGGGATCAGGCCCTATACTGCTTCTCCCTGGCTTCACAAGTTTGGATAGGATCCCATGTGGCTTCAGCTGGCTCCAGGAGACCAGATTTGGGTCCCACAGCAACCCTGCTTGGCCCTGCAAATCTGGATTGGACCAGTACTGCCTCTGCCCAGCCCTGTGCACCTGGTTTGGGCCTTCATCACAGCTGGCTGGCCCTGGGCATCCCACTCTGGCTCTGCAAAGTTTGGTCTGGCTTGCCAGCTGAGATCAGGCCCTGCAACACCCTGCTCACCCAGATCAGCTCCGCACCACCCTTTGCATTTGATCAAGCATGCAGTGCCATACTACCCAGTCCACAGGGCTCTTCCCAGTTACAAAATGTTAGTGATGGGGAAGTATTGTCTGTGTTAATTTCTGCTCCCCTGCTGACAACTTTGCAGACTCTTGGAAGGAGTCCAACCAAAGGAGGACCATCCAAACACAGAGACAAGTAGAAATAGCCAAGAGGAAATGCTAAGCAGAGTTGGAAGGAGAAGACCTGGGTTTTGGCTTCTGCTTCCAGAGATTTCTATTTTTATCCAGTGACTCTCTCTTATAAAATGCATAAGCAGTCCTGGTAGCAGGGCTGGAACCCTTCCAGGGGCACATGCTCATCCCTGGTCTATAGGGTCATACCCACTCTCACATATTTTTTTCTAGCCCCACCACTCTTGAATTCTTGCCTGCACAGAAGCCCAATCTGCAACAGGAGGTGTGTAGCAACCCCCCAGACTGAAGGGGGGGGAAGGGGGGGCAGTTCCTACATAGCTTAATGGCTATGGGATCCTAGATTCCTACTCTTCTGGGAACTAGGAAAATGTGAATTACAATGCTCTCAAGCTGAAGAAGACTAGATCCTGGGTCACAATGCTATACATGATGCACAATTATGTAAAAGATGGCCTGATGCATCTTTGAGCTGGACTCTGTGCTGTCAGTGCAAGTTAGGTGCACTTGGAGCACATCTAAAAGATTATATCTCTCTGGAGAATCAGGTGCTTCCCAGAACCACCCTGAATCCTAACAGAACCAAGATGAAACTTCAGTACCTAAGAGATCAACTAACATTGGTTTTGAGCAGCAAATGAAAGTATCTAGGCAAGTTTGCTATCATAAATGGAGAACTTAGATTTGTAGTCCAGGACTTAAACTGCCTAGTATGACCCTTGTTTTAGGAATTACCCAGCCTAAATTCTGGGTGTCTGGTACTGGAAAGCAATTCAGTCTGACTTGGGCAACTAGGATTCATGTACAATTAATACAAAAGTCTTAAGGTGCTTACACAAGTTACATTTTTTTTGTGATCTGGCCCCTTAAAGCACTCTACAACCTTGCTGTAACACATATGCATGGCTGCAGAACATTTTTTAAAGTGGATGGTTGTGCAAAAAACTAAGCCACCTAAAAAGAGGTGTTAAATAAAGGCACACTGCTTCAGAGTGCCTTAGGGAATTTGTGTTCCCTAGGGTTAATATTTCACACATTGGGTTGGGCTGATGCTGGAGGAGAGGGAAGGAGCAGGAGGTAGGAACTCTGAGATACTGGTTGGGGTTTGCTGCCTTGCTGGAGCTGGACAGGGAGCAGTAGAACAGAGGTCCTTGTGGGGACCTGAGCTGGGCCCATGAGGAGGGGCAGATCCATTCCACCCTTACCCACTTCCAAATCAGACCGGATAAAGCAGATAGAAGGAAGTGAGCAGCACTGAGTGGGATGGAGATGAGAGTGTGGCTGGGTAAAGCGGCAGTGCGGGCAGGCTCAATCCTGTTGGCTGGGGTCAGGGGACAGTGCAGGCAGGCTCAACCCACCACCACTCTGACCTAACAGCCAAACATCTGTTGGGTGTGGGTGGTAGCACATGACACTTTATGTAAAGCGCCATGAGTTAGAGCGAGGGCTTGAATGCCTCTCTGCACCCTTAGAAGTGACTAACAGTCACTAAGGTTTAGAGATCTAAATGAGCCACCACTCCCACCAATCTGTGCATGTTACATTATAGAATCATTTTTGGAATGCTGAAATAACCCTGGCAGCAGAGATTAGAACCCCCTCTCCTAGGAGGCACTATAAACACTGGAGCATGCTTTTTCTTGTTTGTTCTTTTCCTGGCCGAGTAATTCCCACATGCTTTGGCTGCATAGTCGCCTAGTTTTAACAGGAAGTATGGAGAGTGTTCTCAGCTTGTCTGTTGTGTAGCCTGGTACCTATAAGGAGTGTGTGAAATGGGCCCTATTCGATTTGGATTTGGATTTGGATTCAACTCAAATCACGGACAGTAATCTGATTCATTAATTTGAATCACTGTCCTGATTCGATTCGGCCGAATCCAAATGTGAAGATTTGATACTGATTCGGAGAGTTCAGCAATTGAACATAATTCATCTATTCAGAATTCAGTGATTTGGACATAAACACTACTTTAAAGTTTTTTTCTACATACTTTGAGGTACCAGGCATGGCTTGAGAATGCTGTGATGCTGGAGCTGATGGAGCCCCGGCATTGTAGCACTCGCAAGCTATGCCTGGTACCTTGAGGTATGGGCCGAATCTCTGCCGAATTGGATCAGGGACTGAAGCTTTGCACAGCCCTAGTAGCTATGGCTTTGTTCTGGAAAGTAAGAGGTGTAAGTTCATATCTTTCCAGAGGGAGGTGTGGGTAATGCTTCTCCTGATTTTGAATTGAACTGAATGCTGCTGATCTGTGTCTGTGGTGGCTTTTTTCCACTTATCATTTCAAGGCCTTTGGTGTCTGGATTTATATTCAGTTCTTGGAGCAATGCAAGGGGCTAAATATATGGTTTTCTGTTTGTTTTTTTTAATTTGTGGAAGGCCCAGGACTTGGTATATTAGGATCCTCTCATCTTGCCATGGTGGTTTGCACCAGTTTATAGATTTTGGCCATCAGTATCTGGTTTAACTGCCTTGGACACATACCTGGGCTGGAATTCAGTTCTGTTGGTAATTATTAGCTTAGGTTTATGTTTGATTTTGAAAGACAGGAGGAGAGTGCTCATTTTAATTTATTCCTAGGTAAATAGAGTTTGCTGACATTTGCTTATTATGCATCAGTGACTCTGTATAGCTACCCCCTAAGAAGGAGTTTACGTAAGTCATTTGCAAAGAGATCAGGTTGACTGACAAGAGAGGAGAAGAAGAGACTACATGTTTGCTGCTGGTGAAGCAGGATCCATGCTCCTTACAACATTGTATATACCTCACTGAATGCAACTGCAATTTTCAATGCCCAACTGGTGCTACGTGCATTAGAATTGGCTAAAGATTAGGTCTATTCTGTGTTCTGTAATCATTATTCCTGCCTGTTCTACTCTTAGGGTATATAAAATGCTTCCTGCCAGTTAATGTACAAGGTAGGTCTTCGAACTCTTAATAAATTTGACAACTCAATGAATGGTTTAGCCCTCTATTTTTTTTTCAAAGAAAGACCCAAAAGTCTTTTGCAGAGAAAGAATTCAGACACAGTTAAGTTCATGCAGTATAGCTAGCAGTTGTGTCTTTTGCCAGTGCATGGCAGACTATGAACTATATAGTCAACTGGTGAATGAACTATGCATTACAATGAACTATGTATTCAACTAGTTTGAACTGGTGAAGCTCCACTACAGTCAATACAGCTATATCTACATATACTACCTATTTGGTCCACTGTTCTCAAATATATAACTGTTCCTTAGTCCAGTTCTGATCTCTAGATACACATTGTTTCCAGGTAATGCACACTAATAGGTTTGTACTACTTACCGTAAACTTACTACTCACTCATATTTTTACTAAGAGCCTTGTTACAGTAATTTTGGGTAGCTCCTGGAGCTCTTAACCCCTGCACTGTCCACACAATAACACCTTAAAGTGATTTTAAACACTCATTATGAGCTCAAAGTTACGCCACTCCAGGGAAGGATTATCTCTGATCTGTACCACCCAGATCCTGTTCCATGAAGTTGTAGCCACTCCCAACAGATGTGCCACCCTGCTGATGCTCTCCAGTATCTCAGGATCTCTCACACCCCCACCCCTGGAGCAGGGATAGTAGCCTGCCCTGGCTCATCAGCCCTCTAGTGCAAACTCACAGCTCCAGCTCCTAGTTCTGCCCCTGCTCACCAGGCTTCTAGTGGCAAGTCACAGCTGTACAGGAGGGGGACAGCAGAGACCATTTCTAGACTAAGGGTGTGTCTGCTCCAGAACTCAAGCTAGCACTAACTCCCATCAACATTTGTGCAGCTCACAGCCTAACGTGTAACATGGCCCTACAGTTTTCTTTCTCTTTCCAGATGTAATGACTCTCTTTATATTATAGCTTAAGAAGAAGTACTTAGCGACTTTAAACATGATTTTCCCCATTCAGTTCGAACTGGGAAATTAATTGGGGTTTTGGTAAGTTTTAAGCTGCCCGCAGATATATCAAGCAGTCATACATTTGCATTTTGTTGAAAAAAACATTTAAATTGTAAGGTGCAGAGCAACATGTGCAGCTGTCCTAGCAGCAGCAACAAGCTCTTTTCACATGCTCCTGACTTTTGCATCCAAAACAAATTATTTGGCAAGCATCATGTGAAAACAAACTGAACTTGTTTAAATTTTACACAGCTCATTTGTGAAAATAATACAGCTGAGAAAGCTTGCTTAAGGGGGTGACAATATTAATTCTGAAATATTCTAAGGAAAATTTATCGTGCATTTTGTTTATGTTTTATGACAGCTGCAAAGTCATCCCTGGGTTCCCAATGCTGGTTGGCGAGGTTGCATGATCGTTAGATGCTTACACCTACTGGGAATTTAAATTGCGATACGTATCTTATTTCTTTCCATGTCTGCGTGCTGTTTCGCTATGTGAGCCCCATTCCATAAATACCATCAGGACAGTATATTTTAGTAACTGTTCTGCTAGTTCAATAAATAGCAGATTTCCAAATAAGTCATTGTATGTAAAGAAACAAATGAATGCATATAATCATTACCTTTGATTTTCTGGAATGTAGGAGATATCTTCTGTGTCTTTCAGAAGCTTGTGGATGTGAATAGGTTCCTTTACTGGAGCATGATATATAGCTCACCTGCTTCCTGGTTTGACAGAGTGATTCAATGTCACAACTAGGTATTATCACATTCTGATCATGACTGGCTAGATTGCTTGGCTTGTCATGAATTCTTCCAAAATTAGGTTGGTTGTTTGTGTTGAAAGTGTACTTCCTGCTATTGCATATCTCGGCAGAGATAAGATCCCTTTTCCATCAAAATTAATCTGTATTGTGGTGTTTTGTTTTCTTTTAATAATGTATTGTTCATTACAAGCTAATTTCCCACCCAATAAGAACCATATGAACTCAAGTCACAAAGCCTTCTTCCAGATAACTGAAACATGAAATTACCCAGAAGCCTTAATTGCTCTTATCTTGATTGGCAGCAGGACAAATCAATTTAGACGGTCAACAGAGGGGGCTGTTGTTGGTTTTGGTTTTTTTGCCAAAACCACAGTAGCATAACTAAGAGTCTCTCTGTCTCTTCCTTGGAAAGGGTATATACCTGAATTTGCTGGTCACTGTATGGTCTCTTCATAGGATGACCATGCATCCCACTTTTGCTGGGAAAGTCCCATTGAAACACCTCTCCAGGTGTCCCATTGGTCTGGTCAAACAACCATTCTGTCCTATTTTTAGTGGTTAGCCCAGGATGTGTTTAAAATGGGACTGCTGCAGCAAAATCGGGAATGTTTCCCCTCCCTGAGTTCTGTTTTCTGGCATGCTTACCTGATACTGGACCTCAGAACCAACTGTGTGTGTGTGCGCGCACGCGCGCGCGTGTGTGGGGGTGGGATATGGAGAGAGGGAAAAGACAATGGTGTGTTTGAAACCAGGGAAATATGGTCACCCTATCACTTCACATCACTTGCCTAGTGTAAATCCCAAAGCAGAGTAAAGGGCCCTTGATAGAAATGAAACTGGGGCAATTGTGGGGCAAAAAAAAGGTAGGGTAGAATTTAGGTTCCTAACTAGGTACCTAAATGGGAGTTAAGGGGACTTGAGTTTCTTAGGTGCAGATTTATGGTGCCCATTTATAGTTCTGCTGTGCACTGTCATTCCTAACATTTTTACATGTGATCCCATAAATGGAATTAAAAGCAACTGAGTCCTGGTTGTCCATACATTGCATGGAGACACATAAGAGCTTTTTGATCAGTGTTCACAGCAGCTAGTCAGCACATTAAAGCGGGAGACACACTGGCTGGCCAGCAGGGAGTATAGAAACCTCTGGGGGTTTGTGGGGAGGCTGGACTCCTTCCCCTCTTCTGCTGTCAGGCAGTATTTATACAACCCTGGGTTAGACATTTCTGTACCATGGGATTCTTCATTGGAAACTATGGGATTTATTGCCTAAATCCACATCTTTATTGAGTCAGAGGAGGAAGAAGAGGGTCTGCCCATTATTAGCATTGCTTATACATTTTGCATGGAATAGTTATTGGATACAGCATTGGGACCAGAACAGAAGTCTGACTCCATCCTGGACCAGGTGACTTATGTATTTATCCACAGAAGAAAACTCCATACTCTAGACTGGGAGTTAAAGGAGCCGGCTTGACTGAGGAGTGTGAGCACCTGAAACATCCCTGTGCTTAAGGCTTCCTATTGACTACCTCTGGTTAGCTTCCTGCTCACCACCCTCAGTCCCTAAATATCCCATTGGAAGTCCTTAACTTTCCATGTTGGTACCTAACGTGGGGTACCCAGACCTGTTTTTTATCTTTCTCCTGGGGCCGGTAATTATTTTGGGGCATTATAGTGCCTAAATTGCAAATTTTGAAGGGATCAACCTGGACGTTACCTTAATAATACTTTTCTTTTAAATTAATATTTTATTGAAATTTTAAAAAAGAGCTTCCAAGAACACAATGATATGTGCTTTGTATGTGATGGAATATAGCTTTAAGTAGCATTGCTAGCTGAGGGGGTAGGGAATTTTCCTGTGAAACAGTTGTTTTGTCATAACATTTCCATTTGTCAGAAATGGGAAGTCCAATAGATGTGAGTTTTAATGGATTTCTCCGAATCCTTACTTTCAGTTCCTGTGGACTCAGTGGTGGAAGAAAGCAGAGCAAGGAGTTTTGCTGAGCTCCAGGAGTGTGGTTCTGGAGTAAATCCATTGTCTATTGTAGACCTGGGGTGGACTCTGATATCAATTATTCATTCATTTCTCCTCAGATTATTTCAGGCTTGTGCATCAGGAGCAGCAATCAGGCTGTGTAGATGAGGTAGATACTTTCAGCTTAATGTTTTTGTCATGGAAATCCATCCGGATGTGAGGACTCTGTCTAAACTTATGTAGGTCTTAACTGATGGCACATTCCTGTTTGGTTTTTCTTGCCAAACTCCTTGGCTGCCAACATGATTGCTTTCATAATTTTGATCAGCTGTTCATGAAATGGCTTTAGTAAATTCTGGACTCAGAGGTTTTTTTTTTCTTTTTGTAAGGAATTGTAGTCTCCTGGCATTTCTTATTACCTCGTTTAGGATTTCCAGGCTTTCTTGGAATTTTAATACTTTCGCAAATGTTGATACCTCCACTGGTGACACCAGTAAACTCCTTAGTTCTGCAACATTTGCTTTCATGAAAGAAAATATCTTTGTATTGGTGTGTCTTGTGAATTAAGTTATGGGCATGTTGGCTTCAAACAGCTTGCTATCCCCGTTATCAGAATTCAATATTAGACTTAAGTTTTCAGTCATTTCATTCCTAATAATTACAAACCAGCCTAAAAAAAATATAGCTAAACATATAGAATATAGGAGGTTATAATGAACTCATGTGTATAATTGTTCTAGCATAAACATTGTACCTTGTCTTCCTTTGTATTGCTATATTGAATCCCCCTTTTTCCCCAGTGCATCAGACAAAGTTATTAGTTTCCTTGTTCAAGTCCCCTGATCTTTTCTCCATGGCCATAGAGTACAGGACTAGGAGCCATAGCTTCAAGTCACAGTAGAGGCAATTGAGGTTGGATGTTAGGAAGAACTTTATTCTCATTTTGACTATGAGAGTAGCCAAACATTGGAACAGGCTACATAGAGAAACCATGGTATCTCCATTGCTGCAAATTTTCAAGAGTAGGTTAGACAGGTGCTTGACTGGGATGGTTTACTTGGGGGTGATTCTGGTTTGAGCAGGTGGCCGCACTAGATGACCTAGTGAGGTCTCTTCCAGTTCTACTTTCCTATGATCCTATCATACTATGATCCTGGGGTCTGTGGTTCCTCCTCTACTACAGATAAAAGACACCAGCTGCGAATGACCCAACAGCAATGGGACAGCAGCTGGGTATTCCTGGTGCACCTCTTTCTCAACAGCTTGGCAGCAACTTCTTTATGCCATAACAAAGTGTGTGTTCAAGAGAGGGGTCTGGATACTCTTGGTATAAGACTATAGTATCATGGCTGGCAGTTTACAGCCCAAACTATACTTCACATTTCATTGCCCTGCAGTAATACGAATGCCATAAGGTGTCAGTGTTGTATTTCCCTCTGCCCAGAACAAAGCCTGCACGCTGTTGTAGAGATCAATACTGAACACACAGATGGTCCAGTGAGGAAATGTTCTCCCTTTAAAGCCGAGGGAGGCTTTCTGGCAACACTTGCCCCTGCTGTTTCAGACAATGAGATGCATTCTTATTGCACATTCCAGAGGCCCACAATGACTTTACTTATTCAAGGAGGACATTATGCTATTCTTCATTAACCTGTAACAAAGTTGTGGGCTTTTTCTGCCTACCATTAGGATCTAACTGTAAGAGAAAAAAAATCTAGAGTCAAGTTGGCTCTACATCAAAGGCTGGATGGAGATTATGCCAATCCTGAGATGCCAAAGTATATTAATGATCCCCAGCGATACACTGTGTCTCAGAGGCTTTTTTTAAAAAAAGCCCTGTGCTTTACAGGGTCTCAATTACAGCTACAAATTAAGATCCATATTGCGATCTTAGCCACAGTGATCTTAATCACAGCCAACCGCAACTGATGCTTGACTGCACAGCCATAGGAGTAACCTCAGGTTAAGCTGTTCATCACAGGCACAGTTGTAAGGCACAGGTCTTTTAAAGATCCTCTACTGCAGAGGGTAAGGGATATGCTGTGCTGCCCTTTATGTTTATCAACATGTCATTCCCTACCTGATATTTCCTCCAGCCACCTCCCGTATGGATAGAAGAGACCGTGTTTTGTCGAGTCCTTCAAAGTTTTGAAGTCAAGGACTTAAAGCCAGCATGACTTTTTTAGAAGCAGGGTAAACAAGGCACATATTGAGCAAGCTGTTGTCTTAATTAGCAATAAATTTATTTAGCAAGAACAGGTTTGGCAATCCTATATTTATTTAGGAGGGTGATTACATTAATGGGGGGAAGTATAAGAACTCATAACAGCTAAAGCTTTCTGGGATTTACTTAGTTGCACAGATAAGTGTAATAGGTCAATAGTTGGGCAACAGTTCTTTAGAGATCTAAGAGAAATTTTTCCATATAAAGATCTAGTTAGTAGATACACCCAATAGAGCTGGATAGAAAAGGAAGAATATGGTTATATTTCAGACACCCTATGAGTTTGGATTTTCAGTGGAACAGATCCCCGACGCAGATACTCTCTCTGCCCTGCCAGCAAGAGGGCAAGAGCAGGGTGGAAAAAATAATACATGGAGCCATGGCTTTGTTATCTCCCTATGGGATCTGGCTGGAGGCAATAGTAGGAGTGGAACACTAAGCTGAGTCTTTCAAAGAACAGCCTCTTTTCCCAGCCCCCTTTTCTTGGAATTTGGGAAGGTAGAAAGAGCAATATCATAGGTGTTTCTAAGACATATTAGCTCTCTGGGTTAGCCTTAGGGCAGTGTAATGGAGTTATAACACCCCTTTGGTTTCACTGTGCCTAAGAACACAATGGAGCTCTTACCTTGTGGCTAAAATCAAGATCTTGTAAAGCAGAAAGCTGGTATAGAAATAGAATGTGAGGTGAAATTCATTATTCACGATTATTATTACATTTTTGGAATCTCAGATCTAGAAGCAAAATCTCTGCTGGATCTCAAATTTGAACTTCTACGCAGATGTTAGGAACAACCACAACGATGAGCACACAGTAGTCCCTGGTAGTGCTGCTGCTGGCAGTAAGGGAGAGGTGGGAGAGGG